GTATTTCATTCTTTTGGTTGTGACTGTAAATGGGATTGTATTCCTGATTTCTCTTTCTGCTAGTTCATTGTTAGTGTATAGAAACACAACAGATTTTTGTGTGTTGATTTTGTACCCTGCTACTTCACTGTATTTGGTTATTATTTCTAATAGTTTTTTTGGTAGATTCTGTAGGGTTTTCTATCTATAGAACCATGTCATCTGCAAACAGTGACAGTTTTACTTCTTCCTTTCCAATTTGGATTCCTTTCATTTCTTTTTCTTGCCTGATTGCTCTGGCTAGGACTTCCAATACTATGTTGAATAAGAGTGGCGAGAGTGGGCATCCTTGTCTTGTTCTAGTTCTTAGAGGGATAGCTTTCAATTTTTCACCATTGAGTATGATGTTAGCTGTGGGCTTGTCATATATGGCTTTTATTATGTTGAGGTACTTCTATAGCCATTTTATTGAGAGTTTTTATCATAAATGGATGCTGGATCTTGTCAGATGCAGATTTCTCTGCTTCTATTGAAAATATCATATGACTTTTATCATTCCTTATGTTCATGTGGTGTATCACATTGATCTGCAGATGTTGAACCATCCTTGCATCCCTAGGATAAATCCCACTTGATTGTGGCATATGATTCTTTTAATGTATTGTTGTATTTGGTTTGCTAATATTTTGCTGAGGATTTTTGCATCTATGTTCATTGGGGATATTGGTCTGTAATTGTCTTTTATTGTGTTCTCCTTGTCTGGTTTTGGTATCAGGGTAATGTTGGCCTCATACAATGAGTTAGGTAGCCTCCTCTCCTCTTCAATTTTTTGGAAGAGTCTACACTAAACTAAAAAGCTTCTGCACAGCAAAGGAAACCATCAACAAAACAAAAAGACAGCCTACAGACTGGGAGAAGATATTTGCAAGTCATACATCTGATTAGGGGTTAATATCCAAAAATCTAAAGATCTCATACAATGCAACAACAAACAAACAAAACACCAGATTAAAAAATGGCCAGAGGATCTGAATAGACATTTTTCCAAAGAAGATATACCGATGGTCAACAGGCATGTGAAAAGATGTTTAACATCAGTAATTATTAGGGCAATGCAAATCAAAACCACGAGATATCATCTCATGCTAGTCAGAATGGCTATTATTGAAAAAAAAAAACAGGAAATAACAAGTGCTGGAGAGAATGTGGAGAAAAAGGAACCCTGTACATTGATGGTAAGAATGTAAATTGGTACAGTCACTATGGAAAACAATATGGAGATTCCTTGGAAAATTAAGAAAAGAACCTACATACGATCCAGCTATTCTACTTCTCTGTATTTATCTGAAGAATATGAAAACACTAATCTGCAAAGATATATGCACCCCTATGTTCATTGCAGCACTATTTACAATAGCCAAACCATGGAAACAACCTAAGTGCCCACTGATGGAATAATGGATAAAGAAGATGTGGTATATATATATATACAATGGAATACTACTCAGCCATAAAAAAGATGAAATCTTGCCACTTGCTGCAACATGGAGGGACCTGGAGGGTATTATGCTAAGTGAAATAAGTCAGACAGGGAAAGACAAATACAGTATGATCTCACTCATATGTGGAGCATAAAAACAAACAAACAAACAAAAAGGAACACATAGATACAGAGGACAGATTGGTGGTTACCAGGGGTGAAAGGGGTTGGGTGAGGGTGAATTGAGTAAAAGGGGGTCAATAGTATGGTGACAGATGGAAAGTAGACTGTTGGTGATGAGCACACTGTAATATATACAGATGTCAAATTATAATGTTGTACAGCTGAAACTTATACAATGTTATAAACTAATGTTACTTCAATAAAACCTTTCTGGTTTGTTCTAGTTTGTTTATCTACAAAATGAGACTGTTTCTTCTAGCTTCCAAATTCTATGTTTTCTTTTCTACAGTAGTTTCTCTTTTACTTTATCAAATTTTTGGATATCATCTTTCTTCTCTGATAATTTTGATTATTTCGCATCTATCTCATTGTGCCATTAGATCTCTAATGATTAGGCATTTAATCAAGATTTCATTTCCCTTCTGCATGCTTAGGGAGTTATTGTTACAATAATTCTTTAAAATATCTAATAAAGTATTTGTGAGCAGAAAAACAATTTATGTAAGTAGCCCTCTCTTATTTGTTACAATTTCACCAGGATGTTGCAGTACAGACTTGACCATTTCTTCTTCATAAACTCAGGAAATTAAAGATTTCCTCTCTAAAGTCATTTATGTATCTGCAACATCCTACTAGCTTGATACTACTAGAATTTGGAATTAAATAATTTTTGGAGATTAAAATATCTATTGGCAAAGCTCTCTCTAATCCCCTGCTTTCAAAGGGAGTTAATATCAAGAGGCAGCAGTCTTCACCCAAGTGGGAGTTTCACAGCTTAAATTTACAAATGAGCTGTCAAACACTTCTTACTCTCTTGGAATATAAACAGTATAAATCAGTTAAGATATAATTGCAACTAATAATTGTTACTATTACTATAGTAGCTTCATTTACAAAATATTACTTCTCCTCTAATTAAATGAGACATCCAATGCTTTGCATAAGCAATTAAAATGTTAAGAAGTTATATTATGCAGCCAAACACATGAAAACCAAGAATAATAAGCCAGATAATATCAAAGAAAACCAGTGATGTAAAAAGGATTAGGGAGAAAATGAGTAAAGCGAGAAAAGATTTAATCAAAAAGCTTACCTGAAAAATTGAATTGTCCAAGAGGTTAGTCAAGTACGTACACAGAGTCAGGTGGTTTCCCATCTAGTAGCAAAATATAGGACAGCTCAGTCTATCAACAAGATGACATAGTGAGGAGGCAGTATCGTATTTATTTTCCCTCTGGGGATAGAGATGTACTTGAGAATACTTTTTCTGGACTAATTTGTAACTTTCAAGGTGAAGATATAATCATTAGACTCTAGAATTCTGTGTAAGGCAGGCAGGGGAGACAAGTAAACAAACCTGACCGGCAGAAGTCCCCATGGACACAGCACACCCTATGCCCACTATCCCATTCTACTCATATCATTTAAGGTACCAGAAGATAAACATCTGCAACCTGTAAGAAAGCAAAAAACAAACCTGGAAATAATGAGAAAAGACAAGAAAGAGAGTTGCTTCCAGTGTCTGAAGTATTTGTGAGATAAGGTAGAATATTATCACTCCCCATTTCTGGAAAGCCTGGATCCAATTACTTTTTCTTTAGAAAAGAAAAAAGCAACCAAAAAACCTCTCTTCAGACAGTAATAACAAATAAACACTTATCTCTTTCTCCTTTTTCCACTCACTCATCCCTTAACCCTTTGTCATCCAGTTCCCAGTGAAACAATTCTTTGAAGATCATTAATATCTTCTAAATATTACATTCAATGGACATATCTCCATCTTCAAATTTTTTATTTGTCTTTATCATTTGGCATTATTAATCACCTTTCCCTTTTTGAAAATTTTACATCTTGTGGTTCCACAACGTTCTGTTATCTTAATCTTTGTCCTATGTCTTTGAGCCTTCTTTTCTGCCTCCCTTAATTTCTTCCTTTACTTCTATATTTTCCATAGGTAATTACAAGTTGTTACAACAAAGTCTAAAGTAATTCAGTATATCTAGCCTATTTTGAACAAGCCAAGGACCCTAACATCTTTAGCCAAATGCGATGAATGTCTCTCCTCCTCTTTTGTCTCCTCCATAATCGTCTAGCTTTTTTAGTTTCCGTTTTTTGTTTAACCACTCACACACAAACAAGAAATGATTTTGGATAAGTAATTAAATTAAGTTTCTGGACATATGTGATTGCTGTTGTTTCTTCTATGCTATGCCTTCCTTTTGGACTTACTAACATTAGAGAGGCATATTCCATGATAACGTTTTAGTAAGAGTCTGTAGGTAGTAAACTCCCTTTAGTCTCCGTATGTCTGAAAATATCTCTATCTTTCCCCCATTCTTGAGGGACGGTTTAACCAATACACACTTCTAAGCTAATTTATTTTTTTCCCTCGGCATTTAGAATACATTGCTCCATTTTCTTTTGACAGTTTTTTTTTTTTTTTTTGAGATGTTTGGAATTGCCTATCATAAGCTGGGTCCTGTCAGACACTCCAAATCATACAAACAGGCAGCCCAGCAGAAATCAATCAAGAGATGAAAACTGTACATCCGGGACACCAACCATAAGCAGCACCAGAGGGCGTAAGCAAGCTGCGTGAGGAGGTAGCCCAGACCTGCACGCCACCCACGACAGTTGCACCAGAATACCATTCTCAGCTCACACCAATGGTTATATGGGGGTTCTTGTATGAACAGCTAAAGGAGGAGGAAAAGATCTGAGCATTTATGGATAAGTCGACTCAACAGGCAGGTTCCAGAAGAAAATGGAAAACAAGCAGCTGCATGACAGCATCACTCAGGGTGTCCTGGAATGACAGTGGAGAGCAAAACTTTATCAAAGGGTGAAGCTTTAAACTGAGCACCCAAAGACCCACTTTGTGTGGAGCTCTATAAATTCCTTAAGGCTGAAAGCTAGACAAGGCAGCTTTGAATTCTCCTTCTCCATTATCCACCATTGTCAGTCAATACTCTTAGTTTTAAGATAACATAAAATTCAGTCAAGTTACTTGTGCAAAAAGAAGAGGAGAGGGGGATTTTATAAGGATACAGGAATATTCTATAGAACTCCAGGGCAGGAATAAATCTAGGCCTAAGGAAAATTCTAGAAACAGAGATTGGACTTGCATCTGGACTCTCCCTCCATCTCATCTCTGACCCTCTCTGAATGTATGATTTCCTCTCTCTGTCTCTGTCTCTCTCTTTCTCATTTTCTCTATACACTGACATTTCTGCTTCTCTACTAGAAATGGTATGTGGAAAATGGTCAGTCTTTATGTCTCAAGGTTTTATATGCATATGTGAATGTATGTCACAGTCCACCATTTGAGAGACTGAATATTTTTTGTTTTTAAATTTTTTATTTTTTTTAATTGCAGTAACATTGAATTATAACAATATATAGCTTTCAGATGTACATCGCAGAGACTGAATTTGTAAAATTTGGTGTAAATACAGACTCCATGGTAAACAAACAAACAAACAAACACACACCTCTAACTGGCCCACTGGAATCAGGTGCCTATTCTGGGTCCAATCAAACTGTGTGACCTTCAGAGTCACCTTGCGGCAGCCCCGGACTAGCACAGTTTGCCTGTGCTCCTTATCCATTTTTCTTCTGTTTATTTTCTTGTCAAGAGCTCTCTAAACATTAAGGCTCCTAACCATTTACACAAAATGTTACAAATATTTTTCCCAATTTACTTGCCCCCCAAACTTCGTTTTTATACTGAAATTCTTTCAGTGTAGTCAAATTTTTCAAACCTTTCCCTATGACTGCTCCATTTGAAATTGTGCTTAGAAGGCCTCCCCATTCCCAGAATTATATATTCACGTATATTTTCTTCCAATTCTTTACTTTTGGTCCTGACTGACTTCTGTCTTCCGTGTATGATGTAAGAGACAGATTCCTTTTTCATAGAGCTAACAAGTTTTCGCTGTACCACTTACTCATCTCCACCCTTTTTAAAATCACATCCTACATAGGCACTTAACATTGCCGTTGCTTTTTATTCACTCATTCATTCAATAATTCATTTTGGTGATTATATTGCTCCACACTCATCATTAGGGAAAAAGAATTTTCCACCAAATCCAAGAAACATCATTTCGGGTGTCTGAAACCATAAACAATTATAGGGGGAAAGTTTTTAGCTTTTAAATTAAGGTACTATCACACAACTGTTTTTAGCTGACAATAAACATCAAAATACCTACAAAATTGCTTTAACTGAGCGATGAGCCAAATGAAGGAGGGGAGGGAGTACCGTATGATTTAGTTTAATTATCTACTAATCAAAAAGAAAAGAAAAATAATAGACAAGAAACTACACGAGAACTATCAGTTGACTTCCCCAGGCTCCTTTCAGAGAACAGTTGTCCTCTTCTTTTTTTTCAAATAGTTATTCAAAATTTCTGTTTTTCCCTCAGGGGACAGGAGCGCTGTTTTCACACAGATCGTCACTCAGCGGAGGGTCTTCCACGAAGGGGCGGCGCTCGAGGGGCGCGTCGCCCCCCAGGAGGGCGGACGGCTCCACGCAGCGCCCACGCGGAACGGGCCGTGCTGACTCGGAGTCTCCTGTCCCCGCGCACGTCCGGGCCCGCGCCGGGGACGTTCGAGGACCCTCGGAGCCCTGACGGTGCCCGCGCTTCAGCTCTTAGCACTCTCAGCGATCTCCTGCTTGCTCTCCGCCTTCCGAGTGGCCAGCTCGGCAGCCACACTGCGAAAGGGAGACGGACTGTCACCCGGGCTTCAGAGCCGACGAAGCCGCGACTCGAGGAGTCACAAAGTGCCCCGGATCAGCTCTCCCCGCAGACACCTCTCGCACACGGTGGCGCCTCAGGAAGCCGCGCCCAGGCGGCAAGGTGCAGTCAGAGAGGACACGGCGGCGGCCACACACACGGCGACCCCGCGCCGGGCGCTCCCGGCCTCTCGGCGGGCGTGACAGGCGGGCTCGCTGCGAGCGAGGCTGCAGAGCCAGCACCCTAGGAGTTCCAAAGGCCGCAAAGTAAACGTGTTAAGAACTAGAACGACGCCGCCAGTCAACACCTCGCAGATGAGGCGCGGCAAAACCCTCCGCCAGGCGTAGCTCCGGACCGCCAAGCCCCTCCCGGCGTCCTTTGCGCCGCGCACGGGAACGCTCTGGCGCGCAGTGGCCGCTTCGGCCGCCGTCGGGCCTGAGTTGCTATGGAAACGCGGCTGCCTTCACCATGTCGTTGCAGCAGGCCCCTCCGTCGCGGGTGTTCGTGGAGCTGGTACCCTGGGCTGAGCGGGGCCGGGAGGACAATCTGGTCTCCGGCGGAGAGACGCAGCCTGGCCTCCGCCGCGCCCTGCCCTCCGCACAGGCCCAGACTGCGGCCCGCGAGGTGCACGTCAGCGGCGCCGCGGAGGTGTCGGCGGGCCCCGACCGGGCGCAGGTGGCGGTGCGAGTGAGCAGCGCCAAGGAGGCGGCGGCCGAGGCCAAGAAGAGCGTTGGCCGCCGCCTGGACTACATCACTCAGAGCCTCCAGCAGCAGGGTGTGCAGGTGAGAGCTCCGCGGGGGGAGCAGGAGCCGGGTCGCAGGGTCTGGAGCAGAAGGGACGGTTGTCACGTCGGTCCCACACGGCTCCAGGACCTGGCAGAGTGAATCGCTGGCTCATCCTTCTTCTAGATGAAAGTGATTATCGGCTGCAGTGACTTTCAAATAAAACAATGCGCATGGAGTGAGTTTTTATTTGGCGATATTTGCCAGTGATTTTGTTTTTGACCTTGAAATGATGAACTGTTAAACTTGAAGCAGATGTAAATGCTTGCCTAAGCAGTGCGCTAGACGGAAATCACTTTTTCTTATTATTTTATTGAGGTCATATTGACTTATAACATTGTGTAAGTTTTGTGTGTACATTATTGTATTTCCGTTTCTGTATAGACTGTATCGTATTCACCACTCATAGTCTTAATTTTTGTACGTCACCATACATGTGTGCCCCTTTATCCCTTTCGCTCTCTCCTCCTTTGTTTTTCTTCCACGTATGAGTGAAATCACATGGTATTTGTCTTTTTGTCTGGCTTATTCCGCTTAGCGTAATACCCTCAGTGTCCATCCATATTATGTCCATCCATATTATAAATGGCACGATGTTCTCTTTTTTATGGCTGACTAGTATTCTCTTGTATATATAAACCACATCTTCTTTATCCATTCATCCCTTGATGGGCCCTTGGGTTGCTTCCACTTCTTGGCTATTGTGAATAGTGCTGCAGTGAACATAGGGGTGCGTAAGTCTGAATTGTTGATTTCATGTTCTTTAGATAAATACCCAGTAGTGGGATAGCTGGATTTTATGGTATTTCTGTTTTTAATTTTTTGAGAAGTCTCCATACTGTTTTCATAGTGACTGCACCAGTTTGCACTCCCACCAGCAGTGTGTGAGGGTTCCCTTTTCTCCACATCCTCTCCAACACTTGTTACTTTTTGTCTTGTTAATTATAGCTACTCAGACTGGTGTGGGGTGAGTTTATAGTTTTGATTGCGTTTCCCTGATAGTTAATGATGTTGAGCATCTTTTCCTGTGCCTGTCGGCCATCTGTATGTCTTCTTTGGAAAAATGTCTGTTCATATCTTCTGTCTGTTTTTGATCGGGTGTTTTGTTTTTTTGTTGTTGAGTTGTGTGAGTTCTTTATATATTTTGAAGATTAACCCCTTGTCGGATATATGATTTGCAAATATTTTCTCCCAGTTGGTGGGTTGTCTTTTCATTTTGTTCCTGGTTTCCTTTGCCTTGCAGAAGCTCTTTAGTCTGATGTAGTCCGATTTATTTTCTCCTTTGTTTCCCTTGCCTTAGTGGACATGATATTCAAAAAGATGCTGCTAAGAACAATGTCAGAGTGTACTGCCTATATTTTCTTCTAGGAGTTTTGTGGTTTTAGGTCCTAGATTCAAGTCTTTAATCCATTTTAAGCTAATTTTTGACACTAATCACTTTTTGTTTTTATTTTGCACCATGGAATTGGCAAGAAATAAGCATCTGCTTCCTCCCAACCACATAAAACTTTGCATGGAGTGGTTCTTCAGTATTTTTCACAGATGGTAACATGGGGGGAAAATTGCATCCATTTTCGTTTTATAAAAAGTCTCAAAAAATTTCTCCAAATTTTTTAGTTTTAACTTAAAAAAGAAATTAAGCCAGTGTGTTGCAGATGCCACATATATGAAATAACTCTAGTTACTAGAGGTGTCCATGAAAAAATCACTGAATAAATGTTACCTTCAGCCTGCTTCTAAGAAAATAAGAAAAAATGGCCCAGCTTATTTAATCTGCACATCATCCCTGTTAGGCAGGTTTTAATGTCCCCATTTTTTAGATTTAAAAGGTTAAATAATGTTCTGAATTTCAGCCAGGGTGGTATTTGAAGTCCTGTATTCCTGATACCAGAATCTCGGTTGCTTCCCTTGGGTGCTTCAAGCATGTTGCCAGGCACCAGAAATAGAGAATGAGAAAAACTTAGGCACTGTGCTGAAGGAGTCTTGTGATAGGAATAGACTAATATATAGTAAATGTGGTGATGAAAGTATGTGCATGATAGAGTAAGAACGGAAGGGATGTTCGTTTTACTTGAGGAATTTCAGAAAGATTTCATAATGGAAGGGACACTTGTATCAAATCTTAAACAATGGCTAAAGGAAAAGCATTCCAGTTCCACACCAGAATGCAGCAAGCGTATGTGTTCAGAGTGCTATATGCAGTTCAGTATGGCTTGGACACGGGCGTCCCTGGAGAAAATGGAGGGGAATCATGAGATTAGACCGCAGAAGAAAGCTGTAGGCAGGATGTGGAGGAAGGCCTTGTGTGCCAGACTGAGGAGTTTGGATATTATTGATAGTAAAAAAAACTGCTGACTACTGCTAAACCTTTGACAGATGTTATTTGTTTGATACTCCCACCATATGAGACTGGTATTTCAGTTGCTGTTGTACAGATGAGAACTCTCGGGACCAGAGTGATTATTGGCAGGTAGCTTGCCCAAGGTCACACAGCTAGGATGTGGCAGAGTTTAGACTCCAGTCAAGAAGTTTGACCTCAAAGCCCATGCTCTGAACCACTATCCTCTGTTGCAGCTTAATTGGCTTGGCAGTGGGTGATGGAGTTTTTAGGTAGGGGATGTAGCAGATGCTATTGGTACACCACACTTGTATCCCTTAGCACTTCACATTTGTGTGCATACAGGCCCAACTTCCATCTGCTAACAGTTGTGGATTCCTTGCCAGCTTTCCCTGGCTGCAGGAATCTACGCTGCCTACAAGTGGGACAGCCAGTAGTGCCAGAGAATTAACGGCCCCTCCCCCAGCCCCCACAGCCTTCGCCTAAGAGCTGAGGGGAGTGAGGGAAAGAGACCCCAGATTCCTCCCTGCTTGGGCGGGGTGACTCTGAGGCATGTCTTCCACTTCAGTTCGCGGAGTTTCTCTGCAGGAATAAGTTCCAGTTGCACACAGTGGTGATTGCTTGACAGCACATTCTTAATAGCTTTCTTTCCTTCTCTCTTTCACTTCCACTCCCCTACAGTGTTGCTTGGGATCATCTTAAAAATTGACTGCTTGTACTCAAATCCTTGCCTCAGAGTCTGTTCCTGGGTGCACCCACATTAACAGAGGGAGGAGTAGGAACAGATGGAACATATCATTTGAGTTGGCTTCAGTTTTTCATTATTAAAAATGGTGACAAGGGGCCGGCCCGGTGGCGTGTTGGGGAAGTTCGTGCACTCTGCTGGTGGTTAAGTTCGATGGTTCGGCTCCTGGGTGTGGACCTACACACCGCTTATCAAGCCATGCTGTGGTGGGCGTCCCACATATAAAGTAGAGGAAGATGGCACATGTTAGGTCAGGGCCAGTCTTCCTCAGTAAAAAGAGGAGGATGAGCAGCAGATGTTAGCTCAGGGCTAATCTTCCTCAAAAAAAATGGTGACAAAAGGAATATCTTTGTTGCTAAGTATTTATACATGTTCTTAATTATGTTTCTTGACATTAATTCCTGGCTTATGCATATTTTTAAAGCTTATGAAAAATGACACTTCAGGAAGATAAGTTTATATCTTCACCAGAAGTATATCCTTGGTATGGAGAGCATTATTTTCTTCTTTAACTTTGCCAATTCTGTTGTCAAAACAATGTTACTCTTGCACTTGGCCTGGTGGTATAGTGGTTAAGTTCGTGCACTCGTTAAGTTCGTGCACTCCGCTCCAGTGGTCTGGGGTTCGCCTGTTTGGGTCCTGGATGTGGACCTACTCTGCTCATCAAGCCATGCTGTGACAGTGTCCCATATACAAAATAGAGGAAGATGGGTACAGATGTCAACTCAGGGACAATCTTCCTCAAGCCAAAAGAGGAAGATTGGCAATGAAAACTTTAAAAATTAATATTACCGATAACTCTGTCTCTCTCACATATTGCAAAATTTTTCCCAGTTTCATATTTTCCATATAACTGTGTTTACAGTATTGAGCATTCAAAGTTTTCAAGATTTATTTAGTCAAATTCGTTCATCTCTTCTCTGTTTTTTGCCTTTAGTGTAATGTTTTTTGGGTCCTCCCCAAGCCTAAGGCTGTATAACCATTAATGTTTTCTGGAATCTTTGGGACCCTGGGACCATTTGTAGTACATTAAATAGTGACTGTGTTTGGAATTTATTTTGGTATAAGGAAAAGAATTTTGCTTTTTCCTAAATGGGTAAGTCTCTGTACTGCAATCATTTATTAAAGTCTATCTTTCCCTTACTGCATGTGCAAGAACCTAACTCAGACTGCCTTTAGAAGTAAAACTTCTTGCTTTACATAACGTTAAAGTCACGTTTTAATATGGGCTCCGGGTATGCAGTGGTCAAGGTTCTCTCTCTCTCTTTTTTTTTTTTTTTGGTGAGGAATATTTGCCCTGAGCTAACATCTGTTGCCAACCCTTCTCCTTTTTTGCATGAGGAAGATTAGCTCTGAGCTAACGTCTCTGCCAGTCTTCCTCTATCATTCGTATGTGGGGTGCCTCCACAGCATGGCTGACGAGTGGAGTAGGTGTGCACCTGGGAGCCGAACCTGTGAACCTGGGCCGCCAGAGCTTAGTGCCCAGAACTTAAACCACTTGGCAAAGGGGCTGGCCCCTCAAGGTTCTATTTTGATGCAGTTCTCTTGGCTTTACCTGCAGCTTCCTGCATGATACCAAAATGGCTGCAACATTCCCGAGCCTTACACCACATACTGTACCATAAAGAGGAAGACAGGAGTTCTTATTTCCTGCAACCACATAGTAATAACAGTTCCTACAGTTCACTCTCAGTGGACAACCTAAACTTTTCTCTGTGGCCAGAGAAGTGCCGTATACTAATTAGCTTAGATTTGGATTTCTGCCCATTTTCTAACCTCATCCTGTGGCATGTTAGAGTTAATAATCCTGAATGGTTTAGACCTGTCAGGGCTTACCTGGAAGCACATAGTTGCTGCTTGGAGAGAGTAGGGGCAGAGTGTACAACATGAGGGTTCCGTATTGCTTGGTGTGCCTGT